CATTCAATAACCAAACCCTCCTTAGTCTCCAACACTGGAAAGAGCAATAGAGCAAGGGCACGGGGAGCGAACACTGGCTCTTACCGGCCTGGGACCGGAAGTGACGCTCGCTCGTGACGTCATGATGCTCATGCATACGCTCCCACAGGTGAGAACTCAATCTTCCCCTCCTACTGCAGGGAAAGCTGGGACAGGTGGCTTCCTGGTGCGCCCCGGAAGGGGAAACGGGAGAGTAAACACATTACATAACCTCTCTAGAGGGGTGGAGGGTGTTCTAGGGGGTTGTACACTTAGACCCAGAGAGCTGTGTGCTGGGTTCTTGGCATATAGCTGTGAATACGCCAGACGTGGTCTTTGTCCTTAAGAAGCTCCCAGTCAAATGTGGGAGACACAGATAATTACAAATCATGATGAGAAAGCTTAAGGAAGAATGTATAGAGCTTGAAGAGTATGTATCAGGCAGACCCTTTTTTTTTTAAGAACATTATTTTGTAATTGCAAAAACAAACAAAAGAGAAACTTCAAGATAGAGATCACCTTACTCCCACTTTGTAGTATAAAGTGTTATTTGTCCATGTTGTCTTCATGTCCTTGTCTATGCCACATACACATCTATTTGTACTCCCAGCTTGCCCTTTCAGTAAAAGCAATCAGATTGGTTAAACAGGATTATTTGAAACGGACATTTCTATGTCAGGATAGGCTGGGTTATGCTGCAATAACAAACAACCCCCAAACTGCAGCGGCTTGAAATAGAAAAGGTGGATATTCTCACTCTCGCTACATGGAGGAGCAGCTTGGAGCCCATGCTGAGAGATCTTAAACATTGCCAAGTGGCATGGGAAAGGCATAGAGTGCTCTGGTCTGGCACCAGTAATTAAATGCTCCAGACTGAATTCACATGTGTCATTTTTGCCCATACCTCGTTAGCCAGAATTAACTACATGGCCCCACTCAAATGTAGTGGGGTCAGGAAGTGCAATCCTTTCAATTGCTGGGCCAGTGGGGAGTTAGAAGAATATGGCAGATAGCATTAATGAACGTCTAAACACTTTAAATGTTTTATTTTCATCAAGAACATTTTAGAAAGACATTCATCTCTTCCCTCTACGTAGAACCAAGACCTTTTTGTTGTTGTTGTTTTTTCGCTGCACTGGGTCTTCGTTGCTGTGTGTGGGCTTTCTCTAGTTGCGGCCAGTGGGGGCTACTCTTCGTTGAGGTGTGCGGGCTTCTCATTGCGGTGTCTTCTCTTGTTGCGGAGCACAGGCTCTAGGTGTGTGGGCTTCAGTAGTTGCAGCACGCAGGCTCAGTAGTTGCGGCACACGAGCCCTAGAGCGCGCGGGCTTTAGTGGTTGTGGCACATGGGCTTAGTTGCTCCGTGGCATGTGGGATCTTCCCGGACCAGGGATCGAACCCGTGTCCTCTGCATTGGCAGGCAGATTCTTAACCACTGTGCCACCAGGGAAGTACCCAAGACCTTTTCTTTAAGTATACGTCTCCCAGTTCTCATACAACGTCACATGCTTGTATAAACTGCACCCATAAACCACAAAGTCATTTATCATTTCCAGTTCTTTTTAAAAAGTGACCTGAGAGGGACTTCCCTGGTGGTGCAGTGGTTAAGAATCCACCTGCCAATGCAGGGGACAAGGGTTCGATCCCTGGTCCAGGAAGATCCTATATGCCGCGGAGCAACTAAGCCCGTGCACCACAACTACTGAGCCCGCGTGCCTAGAGCCCGAGCTCTGCAACAAGAGAAGCCACCACAATGAGAAGCCTGCGCAATGCAACGAAGAGTAGCCCCCGCTCGCCGCAGCTAGAGAAAGGCCATGCACTGCCACGAAGACCCAACGCAGCCAAAAATAAATAAATTTATTTAAAAAAAAAAAGTGACTTGAGAACCTAAAGACACTTACCAAGCAAACTGCAGGCTGGACCTTCCTAGGTTTTTATGAGCTTTTCCGTTTAATCATTTACGGTTGCTTTGCTTGCATCTAATTTGGCAGCATTTTATTTTTTTTTAAGTAGCTCACTTTTATTCTTTCTAATGCAGGCAACCTGCTTTGCATACAAACAACTCTCTTGCATTAATATTTCATTTATCTGATAGGGTTAAGTTATTAACTTAAACATGGCTGGCATAAACAGGTTTGGTAACATCTACTCCTCAGGAAGTGTACAGCTTAACAGATGGGAGCAGGATTGCTTTGTCATAATAGTAGCCAGCTAGGCTGGGTAGGTTTTACAGATAAATGAACAGTGGCTTGCAAACTGGCAAATTGGGTAAGCTAGATGGTTTCAGAGAGCTGTACTGTAATATTACTAATAGAATTTCAGCCTGTGTTTTCATTTCACATTCTGACATGTTGCCATTTTGCTCATGCTGGAGTGTATCCTGGCACACCTTTCTCCATGCTTAGACAATCCTAGGAATTCATACCAACACATGTGTCCTGATGGGATCTGAGGGATGGGAAGGCATCAACTAGGTGGAGGACAGAAAGGGCACAGAAGAGATCAGCCTGAAGAGAGCAGTAGGGGTCCCACCATGCAGGGCTTTAGAGAAAGAGTTTGTATTTAATTCTAAGGGCATTGGGAAGACATTGGAGTGTTCTGATTAGCGGAATGAGAGTCAAGGTGGCAAGAATTAGGAGGCTGTTACCTAGGCAAGAGATCACAATGGCTTGGACCGCTAAGAATGGTGAGAACTGAGGATTTAGGGAGATTAAGGAAGAGAAGGAGGCTTCTGTCCCTACAGTTCTTTCTCCTTCCTGCTGCCAGCGGTGGGGTGTCCTGACATTGTCAGGGCTCTGGAGGTAACTGTTGATATCAAACTTGCAGTCTGGGTCCAGTGAGCACCGGTTCCCTATTTGGCCACAATCCAGGCCAGATTTGGGGCTCAGGTTGGGGCACCATCAGCCCTGGGAAACCCTTGGGCAAGCAGCTTAGTGGGTCAGGCAAGCAAGGATGAGAAATATGACCTTGCCTGGGGCTTCTCCTTAAATTTCATGCGTCTGTCCTCTCATTTGCTAGTTGCCCCTCATAGATTTGACCTCTGAAGGGATGGAGTGTCCCAGTCTTTGTCCACACACACCTCCTCGTGGTCTCTCATTCATTCTCATCAATTCCAACACTGAAGGCTCCCGAAATTATATCTCCAGACTCCCCTACCCAAATTGTTCAGTCAACATCTTAAATGTACCTCATAGAAACAAGTGATATTTCCATCTCCCCCCCCACTCCCACCCTCTCCTCCCATAGTCATTTCCCTTTCACAAAATGACACTTCTGTACAAGCAAAAACCTTGGCATCTCTTCACCCCTCTCTTTCATTCACTGTCTGCACAAGTCCTTTCGGCTCCAGCTTGAAAATAAATTGTGAAAGTGACCACTTCTACTGCGGCCACCCTGCCTGCGATCCAGCCCACCTGTGCCTCTCACCTGGATTATTGCCATAGTCTCTTCTCTGCCCTCCTGCTCCACTATCCCCTATAATCTTATATTCAACACAGCCAGAGGGATCCTTAAAAAAAGATGTTAATATATCAACAATTATTTTTCAGTAGGCAACATTTGTATATGGGAAGAATTCCAAATAGTCTAAAAGAATAAACTGAGTCTCCTTTCCACTCCTGTGACCCTTCCCCACTCCATCTGCTGCCTTCTCTCCTCAGAGGTGACTCTGGATCCCAGCTTCTTCTGTAGACTTGTAGTGACATTGTGTGCATAACTCTATGCATCCTGTGAATGATTTGTTTAAAATGTAAATGAGACTATGTCCCTTCGTTGGTAAAAAACCTTTTGCTGGTTCCCCAGCAAAGTGAGACTAAAATCCAAATTCCATCCCAAGGCTATAGGACCCTGCTTGTGGCACCTGGCCACTCTACACTTCCACAGCTCTCCTCCACTGTCACTCTGCTCCAGCCATACTGGCCCCCCTTGTTTTCCTTCCACTTTCAGGATTTGTGCCCTGGCTGTTCCCTCATCTTAGCACACTCTTCCAGCCTATGTGGAGTTGCAGGCTGCCTAAAGGTCACTTTCCTGACTTCTCACGGTCACCATCCCACCCTTCTGTGCATTTTCTCTATAACACTTATCACAAACTGCGATTATTTATTTTCTCCAGTGGACCTGGTCTGTTTGGTCACCACGGTATACTCGTTGCCCAGCACAGAACTGGAAATGGTACTAATAATGATTTTAAAAGGAGAAAAACTACAATTTAGGTCGTTACTGTGCGAGATACCGATCCTAATACTTTATTAACTCATATGATCCTCATAACCATCTTAGGGTTAGCTATTATCCACATTTAAGAAACAAGGAAATTGAAGCAGGAAATCTTACACAACTACTAGTAAGTGAACACGCAGTCCTTTAATCGCTGAGTGAATGAGCGAATCAATGAATGGCCCCGAGAGGCGAGTGGCAAGGAGATGCAGAGGGAGGCAGGCGGAGCCTAGGGCCCGGGGACCAATGGGCACGCAGCTGTGACCGGCGGCGTCTCCTGGGGTTTCTGGCTCCGCCCACGCCGCCCGGCGGCCGCTGGGAGTTGTGGTCCCCTGCCCACCTAGCCACGTCACTGTCTTCAAACCCTAAGTCCTCTCCTTAGGCCTTGTACGACCCGTATTCCCGAACTTCTAGGTAGGTTCCCTGGCCCCTAGGCCTATTATTCCTCCTTTTCCTTACATGTCTTGATGCTCCCGGCTCCGCAGGTCTGGGTCTCGGGGCACGGTCTCCCCTGCCACCCCCCCCCCCCAGCCCACTTGGTATCACCCTCTACGTTCATCTCCTCCGGTCACCCTTCGGTCTGTGTTTCCAGCCGCGCCCCCCTGAAGTGGTTTCTCTCACGTCCTCTCAGTTCCTCTCCTCCGTGCTCGAGCGACCCATAGTATCTTCCAACTGCCGTATTCCCCGCCCCACACACCCTTTTCCCGGGGCTCCCCCAGCCCTATTTTGGTACACCCCGGCCACGCCCCCTTGCGGACGCTATTGGTACGCGCCGCACTCCCCTGCTCGCCGCAGTGGTTTGGCCACAGCGACCGTCTCCGGCGGTGCGTCCCCCACGCTTGGTACAGCCCAGCCTGTCTCCCCCTAAGCCGCGCGCCCGCGCCTCTCAGTCGGTGGAGCCCCCAGCTCGCTCGGCCTGCACCAGCCATGGTCCGTCCGCGCCGTGCCCCACACCGCTCCGGCGCTGGGGGCCCCCTCGGGGGTCGCGGCCGCCCCCTGCGGCACCTCACGGTGCGCGCCGCCCGCTCGCGCTCCTGGCCGGCCAGCCCCCGGGGCCCGCAGCCGCCGCGGATCCGGGCTCGCTCGGCCCCTCCCATGGTGAGCCCCCCGCCCTTTTTCCAGAGCTTTCCACAGCCCCGCCCCCGCCGGCCCCTTTCCCGGACTGGCGTCTTTGTCCGCGGCCTCCCCCCTCGGGGGTTTCTCCGGTGACCCGAAGGGTGGTCCCGCCTGGGGCCGGCTTCCCTGTGAACCCCCCTGGGTGGTACGCGCCGGGCTCTCCCCTTTGTTTCGCATTCGGGATGGGGTGGCGAGGGTGGGGTACGGGGGCGGGAAGGGCTCAAATTACTGCTGACTCCGCGACCCGATTTAAACGCGGGGTGGGGGGCGGGCGGACGGCCGGCGTGCGTTGTTGTTTTTCCAATTGGAAAGTTGCTCGCTTTCCGGGCAGGAAATCTGGAAATGGGGGAGGGGGCCGGGGGGACGGCGGCGAGAGGGCCCCGCGTCTCGCACTGGCGTGCCCAGGTGTTGCCCCCGGGGGCGTTCTCCCCGGGCCCGCACGCGTCTGTACGGCGCCCGTGGCGTGTGCGCCCAGGGTTTATTTGCACGCTCGCCCAGATGTTGGATGCCCTTACTGATGGCAGTAGGCCAAGTAAGTCCAGATCTTAAACATAAACATCCAGTTTTGCAGGTACGCGAAGTTACACATGCTTCCCGAGACCTAAAAGATGCACATACTTGTCAAAACTCTTAAGGTTTTTCTGGAGCTGTAAATCTACATATCCCGACGTTTCACGCACAGCCAAGCCGTGATACGCTTGCCCAGATGCGCGTTTTACCCTAACCTGGCGCTCAAGCTTCCTTCTTAAATATCCTGCCCCAACATTGTGCGTATCGGGGAGCTGTGGCAGCTCCACACTAGCCTTAAACAGGTTTTCTCGGATCTTATATTCAGGTACCCGGACTCGGAACACCTCCCTAAACTTAAACATCATCCTTCACTCCATTGCCTTCTCCGTTCCTTAGCGTTCATGTCTGCTTGTTCAGAAGCGCCTCCTGGGTCCTTAAACGTACATCTTAAAGCTTTCATTCTTCTTCCAGGTACTAAATAGGCTTCCTATGCAGTGAGCAACAGAACAGGTGTGGGAGGCATTTTACACACACCTGCCCAGATGTGAGATTTCCTTTAGGATTGCACGTAGGTCTAGCCCTTAAACGTGGTCCTCCACCTTGACACGCATCCTGCTTTCGGGGAGACCTGAGCTTAAGCATCGCTGGTTTTTACACTCAGGTTAAAACGTAGTCAGACTGGCCTCCAGACACAAGCAGAGTTTAAACATGTGTCCCTGGTGCACACATTAACTGGGCCCTAAAGTGAGTTCACCTGGATCCCAAAGTCTCCTCCAGGTGTGTGATTTAACTGGTTTTCTCAGACGTTATGGGCTCTGGCTGTGGTAACCTACACGCCCAGGGCTACAACAGTCTTTCTCCGTCTGGGACGCTCCGACCGTGTTCTTACACCAGGATGCTCTCTGCTCTTCTTCCTGATCTCTCACGGTTGCCTGAATCCCAGAGTCTCCTGCCCAGGGGGAGAGTGTGCTTGCTCAGGTTTTTATTTTGCTTTTTAAGCCCCTACAAAATACAGTTTTTCCTGCCTGTTGTTACTCTGGGGCAGAAGACACCTGTGTGCTTTATAGGAAATTTGGAAAATACTGATTAGTAATGAAATGAAAAGTAACAACCATTTTTTTTCTGCTGCCTGGAGGCACCTATTAGGAGGGTTTTCACCGGTTTCCTGCTGTCAGGCTGTTTCAAAGCCTTCCCTTGTTTGCTTTGAGATGTTTTGGGTTTAAAAAAAAGATAACTGGAGAGTGCCTTGTGAGTAAATTGTGTAGCTTTCCTTGGCTTTATTGCTGGGACTTCTGGTGTTTTGCAGATGCTCTCAAGACGTTGTGTTTGAGAGACCCTTCCAGGTGTTGTCAGGCTCCCTGTTGTAAATGTGTCCCCACCTCCCTGGAGAGTTCTGGTTCCTTCCCGCCTCCCCGTGGTCAGCCTGATGTGGCTGCAGCCTGGGCTGCGCTAGGGGAGGCGGGCAACTGGCTGGGGAGGTTGGCGGGAGCCAGAGAGGAGAGTCTGGATTTTCTCTCTCCTTTTTTTATTTTTTTAAAAAATTAATTAAATTACTTATTTATTTTTACGGCTGCACCGGATCTTAGTCACAGCACGCGGGGTATTTTGTTGCGGCACGCGGGCTTCTCTAGTTGTGCACGGGCTCCAGAGCGCATGGGCTCTGTAGTTTGAGGCACGCGTGCGCAGCAGTTGTGGCACGCAGGTTTAGTTGCCCCGCAGCATGTGGGATCTTAGTTCGCCGACCAGGGATCAAACCCGCGTCCCCTGCATTGGAAGGCAGATTCTTTACCACAGGACCACCAGGGGAGTCCCTGGATTTTCTCTTGAGGGCCTGGGGGAGCTTTGGAAGGGTTTTGAGCTTGGATGGGATGGGGCAAACCAGTGTGCCAGACAGACAGACACAGCCCAGGCTGGCTTGTGTGTCGTGGGGGGAGCTTCAGGGAGGCTCTGGACCCCCAGAGAGCTGCTTCTGAGTTATCTCAATAGAGGAATCAAAAATTGATCAGCACTGGGAGGATGAGTGGGGAGCATCTCCTGAGGAACGTGGGGGGGGGCATGGCCCGCTAGGATGAGAGCATAGCTGGAGCAAAGGCTGGAAGGGGAAGCAACTGGTAGCTTTCAGGGACCTTGCATGGGCCAGTGTTGAGGTGACAAGTAGCCTTGGGGCGGGGAAGCGTCCTGGGGTGGCAGCAGGAAAAGAACACGGGGGGTCAGCCACTCAGGGTCTCAACCCTGGGAGAAAGGGGTTGGAGATGGCCCTGGGGGTTTCGCAGCTGGGGATCGGGGTCTCAATGTTGGGATGTCCCTTCTGGGGTATGTGGGGGACAGCTCCCCTAGCGGGCCCCTCAGCCTCAGTTTCCCTACCCCCTCTGCCACAGCAAGGTGCTCGGGTCTTCGGGGCCCTGGGTCCCATCGGGCCCTCCTCGCCCGGGCTCGCCCTCGGGGGCCTGGCCGTGGGTGAGCACCGGCTCAGCAACAAGCTGCTGGCCTGGAGCGGCGTCCTCGAGTGGCAGGAGGTGAGCGTCCACGTCAGGTCCTCTTGTGAGTCTGCGGGGGGCTGGGGGCTGGCCCCGGGGTCCCTTCTGCCCCTGCAGGTGGGGGCAGGCCTGAGCACCCGGGCTGTGTCCAGTGACCCCTCCGCTCCCACCACAGAAGCGCAGGCCCTACTCGGACTCCACGGCGAAGCTGAAGCGGGCCCTCCCCTGCCAGGCCTACGTGAACCAGGGCGAGAACCTGTGAGTGGTGGGCAGGGGGCGGGCGGGCGGGTGGCAGGGCCGCTCCCCTGACTCTCTTCTTCCCGCAGGGAGACCGACCAGTGGCCACAGAAGCTGATCATGCAGCTGATCCCGCAGCAGCTGCTGGTGAGGCCCCACCCTCTGCTGCCCGCCCTGGCCCCAGAGCACCCGCCTGGCCCTGACCCAGCTGTTCCCTGTCGCCCCCAGACCACCCTGGGCCCCCTGTTCCGCAACTCCCAGCTGGCGCAGTTCCACTTCACCAACAGAGACTGCGACTCTCTCAAGGGCCTCTGCCGCGTCATGGGCAACGGCTTTGTGAGTGGGGCGGGGGTGCTGGGGGCGGACGGGCGGGGCAGGGCGAGAAGGGCCCCTTGGAAGCACCGTGGTGACCAAGTACGGCGGGAGGCAGAGCTCTGCTGGGACAACCCAAGGCAGGTGGCAGGGTCCGGGTGACCTCTCCTGGGGGCATCCCTGTCCCTGGAGAGCAGAGGAGCCCAGCCAGCCTCCCGGACAAGCTGGAGCCACCCCCGGGCACGGGAGCGAAGGGAGAGGCCTGGGCCAGCCCTCCTGGGACCCAGGAGCTTGTTGGGGCCATAGCACATGGCAGGGACTTGGCATTTTGGGGTGGCCTGGAGGAAAGAGGGAGCCAGCAGTGGAGATGGTCTGCTGGGACTCAGTTTCCTCATCTGCGGTCCTGGGGCCACTGGGAGGAGTGAGTAAAGCACTTGAGGCGGTGACTTGAGGGCGTTGTGAGTGCTCAGGAAGTGCAAGCTGGAGAGATTGTTAAATTGGGGATTCAGACACAGGACATGGTGGGCGTGGTCCCTGCAAGCCTCTCAGGTCTGGGCCCAGGCTTCAGCCGCTGCCCCCACCCCCCAGGGCTCCGGCTGTGGGACGGCAGGTACTGGGAAAGGGTTGGGTTGAGGTGGGAGTAGGTCGTTGGCCTGGAGGACTCAGCTCTGGGGTCCTCTCCCTTTCCTGGTCCCCTTTGGGACAGACCACCCTCCAGCTCCTGGCTGCTGCCTCCGGGGGGCGCTGTGTGCTGCCCTTCAGTGCCTGGGCAATCCCCTTTTCTTCTGGGTTGTGACTGGTGTGGGGTCTCTTGCCTGCCCGGTCACCCCTTCATTCAGCACCGTTTGCTTGGAGCCTGGGGCTCGCAGGCTGCAGGGAAGGTGGCCCTCAGCACGTGCCCTCCATGGCCTGTCCGGTTATGCTCCGGGAGGGCCGACCGTACGTGGGTCCAGGAAGGCCAGGGGTGGGGTCCCTGAGCCAGCGGACCCCGGGGCTGAGAACGCGCATGCCCCACTGTCTAGACACCCCAGGTGGGGACGTCTGTGAGGCTCAGGCTCTCCCGCAGTCCCACCAAGGAGGCAGTAGCATCTTGTGTAATGAGCGTTTATGTGGCGCTTACTCTGTGCGCCGTTGTTGTGCTGTTTTACACGTGGGGAAACTGAGGTCCAGGGGTGACCTGCCTTAGGTCACACAGCTAGGAGGTAGCAGAGCCAGGGTTACTCCCAGGCAGTCTGGTCCTGCGTTTGTGCTCTTAACCCCCCGGGCCTGGTGGCCTCTGTCAGCGGGGCCCAGCAGCAAACTCCACAGGACAGGGATGACCTCGGGGCACGTGGGCGGCAGGTGGAGCCCTCTCAGGACCCTCACCTGGCACATGGGGCCCCAGTCCTGACCCCAGAGTCACGGTGGGGGGGGGGACACCAGGGTGCACGTTCACAGGCTCCCAGAATGACATGTTCTGGCTACACACCAGTCATTTAGGGTCCTGGTGTTAACCTTGAGGATTTCTGTCCCGTGATGATCGTTCCCTCCCCACCCCCACCCACAGGCGGGCTGCATGCTCTTCCCCCACATCTCCCCCTGCGAGGTGCGCGTGCTCATGCTCCTGTACTCGTCCAAGAAGAAGATCTTCATGGGCCTCATCCCCTACGACCAGAGCGGCTTCGTCAATGCCATCCGGCAGGTCATCACCACCCGCAAACAGGTGTGCCCTTGGGCCCGGCCGCCACACGTGTCTGAGGCTTTGAAGGGTGAGGGGGTCGAGGGGTCTGACAGGGTGGTTCCCGGCAGGAGGGGTGCCCATGGGGAGCAGGGAGGCGGATGGGCAGGCGGGCACACTCGTGGCAGGAGGGTACACTCGTGGCAGGAGGGTGACCTCAAATCCTGGCTCACACCTTACCAGCTCTTCAGTGACCCCTTCACCCAAAAGTGTCCCAGTTTGTGTGGCAAGTTATACAGCCGCCCAGTTCTTAGAGGCAGACCCTGTGAGCCATGTCCCCCAGGCTGATGGCGGGGGCTTGGCCCAGGGCATGGGGTGTGCTGTGAGGGGCAGGGCCCGCTCTGGGGAATCCTCTGGGCCTGTGGGCAGACTAGAGGCCGGGCCGGGCCAGGCTGGGCCCTGGGGGCAGCAGGTAGATAAGCTTGGGACTGACGGACTGGGGGCGTGGAGGGGTCTGGGCAGCGTTCTTTGGGGAACTCCTGGGGCACCAGCCCACCTGTCTCCTCCCCAGGCAGTGGGACCTGGTGGTGTCGCGGGCCCTGTCCAGATGGTCAACAACAAGTTCCTGGCATGGAGTGGAGTCATGGAGTGGCAGGAGGTGAGCCCTGGGCGGGCCTGGGTGACCTCAGGACCAGGGCATCCTCCCACTCCTGACGGCTCCCCTCTTCTTACCCCCCAAAAGCCCAGGCCTGAGCCTAACAGTCGGTCTAAGAGGTGGCTGCCGTCGCACATCTACGTGAACCAAGGGGAGATCCTGTGAGTGTCGGGCAGGGGGCGGGGGCGGCATCTCGGTGAGACCTGGCCTCCTGACCCTCGTCCCCGCATCCCTGCAGGAGGACCGAGCAGTGGCCGCGGAAGCTGTACATGCAGCTCATCCCACAGCAGCTGCTGGTGAGTGGGGAAGGGGGCACTCGGCTTGCCTCGACCTTGGGGCCCTGGGGGAGGCTGCCTGTCCAGCAAGTGGCGGTAGGCGGGGCGGGGCCTGCCGACGTGTGGGCATGAGGGGCTGCGGGGCCCTGGCGCCTGGCCCAGCCACCTCGGGGCCTCCCTGCAGACCACCCTGGTGCCGCTCTTCCGGAACTCCCGCCTGGTGCAGTTCCACTTCACCAAGGACCTGGAGACGCTGAAGAGCCTGTGCCGGATCATGGACAACGGCTTTGTGAGTGGGCTGGTGGGGCCCAGGGCCGGGCTGATGGTGGGACAGACAGAGCCAGAGCCGCTTGGTGTTTAAAAACTGAAATGAGATTAAGAGCGGACGATTCCCCAAAATTGGCCGGGTGTGATGGTAGCCGTGGGGAAGGCGTGTTGGCTCTGTGCCTGGACATTGGCTCCCCTGGGGCTCTGGGCCATCCTGACCCCATTTTACAGATGGGGAAACTGAGGCTCGGAGGCTGTGCTGGCAAGTGCTGGGCGGGAACTTGGACCAAGTCTGGTTTGGGCCCCCGGGGCTGTCCCCCCCTGCTCTGTCTGGGTTTACTCAGCTGAGGCTGACATCACCCCACGCGTCGACTCTGCTCCCAGGTTCTTACCTGCCACCTTCCTCTTGCTCCTTTCCCCGGGGACAGGGTGGAAAACCTGAGGCTCCCAAGGCCCTCACCAGGCAGGGCATCTGCCTGCCTCCAGCCGGAGCGAGCTCTGAAAGCCCCTGGTGCTCACCTGCTGGTGGGCCTTGGCCAGTTCTCCCCTCTCTGCGGGCCTCGGTCTCTCCATCTGTGAAGTGAGGAGCTTGGCCCTCGTGCTTCTGAAGCCGCAGCTGTCTGTGTCCGCTTTGTGGGTGTTGCTGTACCAGGTCATAGCTGTCCTCGAATTAGCGTAATGTTTCTAAGTCAGCCGAAGTCGTCATGGCTGTGCCACTGTGCATTTGAGGGGCTGGTTATTTAAGAGTTTAAAAGCAGGATTCCCTCAGGGAAACTAAGGCCTCGAGGACATGGCCGGTGCTCCCTCAGCGCACTCGGGCTTCCCTCGGCTGTTGGCTCGGGGGTGCTGTGAGGGGCTTCCTCCTCGATGCCCGTCAGCACTGGCCCCTGCAGTGGCACACAGGCCCGAGGGCAGGCATAACCCCTTCTGGCTCTGGGGGCCCGCGAGTCCCCGAGCTCTCAGCCTGGGTTTGCTCACCTGTAAGATGGGGACGGTGACCCCTGGGCCCTGGAGAGAGGATCCTGTGAAAGGCGTCAGGGAGCGATTGGTGCCTGTCGGCACTGCGGTCGCTGTGACGCTGAGCCATGTCCCAAGCCACGGTGACGGCGGCATCGCAGTGGATCAGCGCCGCCCAGCTTCCCCGCCCTCAGCTGGCCCGGGGGTCGCAGAGTGGACGGAGCCCTGGTGCCCGGCCTCCTGGGGCCAGATTGGCCCCTGGTGTTTCTCCCCCGCCGCGGCCTTCCTGCGTGGTCGCGGTCACGGCCGTGGCTGGTCCCGTGGGCACCCTGGGTACTGGCTGGCCGGCGTGGGGGCCACAGTCTCGCTGGAGCTCGTCGGGCAGCCTCCTGGGCTCAGCTGTAGAGCCCACTCACTGGTCCTTGCGCAGGCACCTCTGGTGTCCTGTGGGAGTGTTGACAGGGCTGAGGACGGCGGCTGGGAAGGCCCAGCGTGCTCCGTGGTGCCCGTCTGCCAGGGCGCTGACCCGTGCGATTTGCGCCCGTGTCTCAATGGGGAGGAGCGTCTGCGCTGAGGGCCCGCCCGTGACACTGTGCTCCACACCGCCAGGCCGGCTGCGTGCACTTTTCCTACAAGGCCTCGTGCGAGATCCGCGTGCTCATGCTCCTGTACTCCTCTGAGAAGAAGATCTTCATCGGCCTCATCCCCCACGACCAGAGCAACTTCGTCAACGGCATCCGGCGCGTCATCGCCAATCAGCAGCAGGTCCTGCAGCGGAACCTGGAGCAGGAGCAGCAGCAGCGTGGGGTGAGCGAGCGCCGCTGCCGGGGCCTCGGTCCCCTCCCCCCCACCCCACCCCGCGCTGACTCCTCCCTGGCTTCCTCTCGCACAGATGGGTGGGTAGGGGCCACCCCGCCGGGCTGGGCCTCTCCAGGAGCCACAGACGAGGCCCCGCCGAGACTGGTGAGTGGAAGCTGGGCCAAGGACAGGATGGACCCTGGGAACTGCCTGGGGTTCGGGAAGTAGTGTGACCCTAGCCTTGAGAAGACCAGAGCAGAGAGAGAGGCACGCACATCCCCCATGGTCCCAGGCCTCCTGGGAAACTCCAGCCCCGCTCCCCACCAGGCGGCGACAGGAGCAGGAGTTTCCAGTCAGGGGCAGGGAGGGCAGGGAGAGGCTCTTCTTGTGCCCGGGGCCCTGGAGCCTCACCTGTCCAGTCCCTCCCACTATGCCCCCTGCCCCCAGGTCAGATGCTTCTGAGCAGAGGCCTGTGGGGACTGCAACTGCCCAGTGAGATGGAGGACAGCGTCCTGAGATATCTCCAAGGACAGTCCCCACCCTTGTACGTTTCCCCAATAAAACCTTTTAAAAGCCCTTTGGCCACTGTGCTCTGTCCAGGCACCCTGGCTCGGGAGAGGCCAGGCCCCTCCCAACAGCAGCTGTCCTCAGACCCGAGTGCCGTCCCCGGGGGCTGATGGCTGGGCCCACCCCCGAGTGTTGACACGGCTGAGGCCTGGGAGTGTGCATTTCTACCATTCGCAGGAGAGGGGTCACCTCTGAGATCTGTCACCTGAGCCAGGAGGGGAAGCTGCAGTTCACGGAGCTGCCAGGTCTGCAAGGTGCTTGCTGGGCCGTGTCTTCCAGAGTCTTTCCACAGCTGGCCGGCTGCTCCTGGGGTCCATCCCCCGACTCCCGGCGTTGCCAGGCTGCCCTCCTTGTCCTGCGGGTTCCACAAGCCTCACTTAGCTGGAAGCAAACACAAGGCAATGCCAGGCCGGTTCCAGTCCTCTGGCACTGGTGGCACGCGGCAGGCCTGGCCGGGCTCTCAGGCGCCCCTCGCTGCTGCAGGTCCAGGCCATAGCCCTGGGGTTCAAGTCCAGCATGCAGAGCACCTCATTTCTCACGGAATCGGAGCTCCAGCTCTTGGCCCCGGGTCAGTCTTGCTAAAACTCCGGGCTTGCTCTGCAGCTGGCAGCTGCGTGCAGCGAACTCCACTCGGGCCCTGCCAGCCAGGATGCCCTGGCGCCCATCTGGAGCGCCAGCAGCCGCAGGCTGGAGAAGCCGAAACCCCCGTCCGCGAGATGCAGTTGTCCCCAAGGTGGGCTGAGGGTTTAGTTTGAGGCAAAGTTGCCAGCAGTGCCTTCCTGGGAGACCAGGCCGGTGGGTCTGTGCTCCCAGCCCGGCTGGGAGCAAAATGCTGGTCAAACATGAAGAAAAACAGCATTTATTGTGGGGTGGGGAGCAGGTGGGGGTGGGCGTTGGCTCAGCCCTCTGAGAACTGGCGGTACAGCCGCTCGAGCTGCGGCGCCACGTGGATCCGGAACGGGATCTCCAGGATGGCGGAGAAGCCTTCGGCCAGCGTGGGGGCCTCGAGCTGCTTCCTGGCGGCAGAGGGTGGTGGGTGGAGGTGAGGCCCAACGTACAGGCTCAACCTGGCGTCCCTCCCCGCCCGCGGCGCCTACCTGTAGCCGTAAATGACGATGTCGGTCACGGGGATGTGAGAGGAGTCCGTCATGTCCCGGAACTGCGGGGGGCGGAGGTCAGGCTGGCCAGGCTGGGGCGAGGGGGTGGGGGGGCGGGCGGGATGTTGTGGGGGGCTGGGGAGGCGGAGGCCGGCTCACCCGGTTGTTGTGGCGTGCCTGCTCCAGGGTGGTGCTGAAGAGGAAGCAGCGGCAGGGGACGCCTGCGTCTCGGGCACACTTGATGTACCTGTGGGGGCCGGGGAAGTGGGGGGCTGGCAAAGGGCCCGGGGCCCACCCTACAGAGGCCGCCCCTGGGACCCCGGTACCTGGCTCGGCTCTGGATGTCCGGGTTCGTGTTGTCAATCACGACCCGTTTCCTTTGCTTCAGGGCCGCCTCGCACGTGGTCACGCAGCGCTGCCATGAGCCCAGAGTGTCCTGGGGGACCCAGAAAGAGGTCACGGATGGGGGCCAGGAGACCCAGGGGGACAGAGAACCAGAGAGGGAGACCCAGAGACAGAGGGGTTAGGGATCCAGGGTAGCGGGGAAAGGCAGGGAGAGGGGGGCAGGGACCTGGAGAGAGGACCTGGGGGCAGGGGGCAGAGCCGGAAAGAGAAGGACAGATGCGGGGGGAGCAGAGACCTAGAGGACAGCTCTCGGGGGTGGGGGCGGAGGGGCTGCGGATGTCCTACCCTGTTCACGTGGACGTATCCGGCCGACACGAGATGCTCCTGGAGGAAGGTGGACTTCCCAGCTGTGAAGGGCACAGCATTAGTGGGGGCCTGAGAAGTCGGAGCAGAGCTGGGGCTTTTGAGGGGCAGGAGTCTCACCCCCAGGAAATCCCACGGCGACAACCACCTCGGGGTCTGAGCTTAAGAGGGAGCTGGACTCGGGGAGGCAGAGAGGCCCAGAGCAGGAGACGGTCCTCTGGGAGGGGCAGACATGATGAGCGAGACGCCCTCCCCATCCCTGCATGTCCCCCACTCTGCCCCCAGCCCACCCCGCGGGCCTCACCGGGTCAAAGGCTGGGAGCTCGAAGCGGGCCATGGGCCATTTCAGAAAGAACTCCTCTGGCGTGGCGAAAGGCAGGCCCAGGTTGAGGGCAAACTGGGGGCAAGGGCACACATCAGACTGGGTAGTGGCTGGGCTGGGGGGTGGGGTGGGCAGGGACAGGGTAGAGCGAGCCTCACCAGGCGGTCAGCGCAAGAGAAGTCTTTCTTCTTGCGCCCAGGGGCCCAGTTGGCTGGGCGTCCAGCTGCATCTGGAACACATGGAGGATACAAACCTGTCTCCACCAGGAACCTTGGGGACAGGGGTCCCCAGCCTACCTGCATCAGCCCTGCGGACCCACACATTTCCCCACCCCCAGGCCCTTACCTCCCACAAAGACGCTGTCCCCGATGGAGATGGGCACGCCCTCGTTGGCCTGGGGAGGGACAGGTGATAGACAACTGGCAGTAAAGAACCTGTTCACACATCTGTCCCCCCAGGGCACTAACGGGTCCTGCCGGATGCTCAGCTTGGTCTGTGTCCCCCAGGAGGCCTATCTCTAATCTCTTATGCTCCACACCCAATCCATCAGTGAATCCTGTCGGCCGCGCCCTCCGGCCACTTCTCACCCCCTTTGCTGGCACCACCAACTCGATCCTGGCCACCAGCATGTCTCTAGAATATTCGGTCACTCCTTCCGGGTCTCCCGGCTTCCACTTTCGCCCGTCTGTTCCCCAAACGGCCGCCAAGGGCGCAAGTTCCCACTTAGCGCGGCTCCGGACGCTCTCCTCCCAATCCTCCCGGTGGCCACCTCACTGTGGCCCACGAAGCCTGAGAGCCTGACCCCTGCTCTCTGACCTCATACCCCTCACTTTCCCCCTCACCCGCTCAGGTACAGCCACACGGGCCTCCTCACTGCCCATGAGCACACCAGGCTCGGTCCCACCTCAGGACCCTTGCACTTGGCGTTACTCCTACCTGGACCACTCTTCCCTCAGATACACACATGGCTCCCTCCCTCAGCAGCTTTGTATCTTTACTCAAGGGCACCTCAGAGAGGATTTCGCTGAGCTCCGTAGATAAAGCAACACCCTGCCTTATCCGTACTCTGCTATTCCACATATCTGTCAATGCACCTTCCCTGATCTGGCAGCAGGCAGGTTTGTCTTGTTCACTAATATTTTCAGCTCAAGAAGCTGCTGAACTTCAGAACAAACGCACACCCAAACGAATGAATGGATCCATGAGCGACTTCTCTCTCCACCACTGTTTTTCACAGTTTGTGAGCACCGGCCTCACATATCAACACTAGGACACGACAGCAAAGGAACTGAGAAGGCCAGGCTAGGGTAGGGGATGAGAGGAAGGTCATGCACCAGAGACCCAGAGTGGGGAGGCAGGGCAGAGAGCAAGGGGCCGCAGAGGGAGGAGAGCCACTGGGAGTCCGAAGCTCACCTGCCCCTGCAGGTGGTCCCACATGCCGATCACCGGCTTCCGGTACAAGCCTGCGTGTGTGGCCACCAAGACCTGTGGGTGGGGCAGAGGTTAGACACCATCCTTGGCTCCTCCTCCAGCACCCAGAGTCCTTCAAGGGCACATGGGTCCCAAGGATGCTACCCAGAACCTCACCAATCCAAGGAGGGCGCCCGGTGCCCTGGAACTTGCCACTTACAATGAGTTTGTCAGCATAACCCCACCTGGGGCCCACACCCCACTCACCCAGGGTCTCTGTTCCCCCCACCTCTACAACTGGCTCACCATGTCATACCTTCTCCCTGGGTCTCTGTTCCCTCCTCTGTCCCATCTCACTGTCTCTGTTCCCTTCTCTCTGGGTCCCTGTGCCTGCCCCCCTCACCTACCAGGTTCCCCCCCACCGCCGCCATCTCAGAGTCTCTGTCCCTCCACATAGCCCTTCAGCCTCCCTTACAGCCATACCTGAAAGGGGACCCCCAGCTTCTCCACCACAGCCTCCACCTTGGCCTTGAACAACTCCGCTGGCAGCTTCCCGCGTCCAATGCCCATCTGGTTGGTGAAGATCACCAGCTGGGAAGCGGACAGGTGTCAGCCGGCGCCCTCCTCATCAGGCCCGGACCTGCCCTGTGAACCCGCCACCACGCGCGCACGCGCACACACACCTTGTAACCCTCGGCAGCCAGTTCCCGGAGCTTCTGTGGAATCTCTCGGTACAAGATCCTAGGGCGGGCGTGGAAGAGCAACGTGACGTGGGGCCCGGAGTGCACCTCACCCACCCCCTCCTCCTGTCTCTTATCACCTCCAGTCACTGGGGCCAGTGGGAAAGACCTTCCCAGAACGTGTGGTGATGAGGGTCCCATCCAGATCAAAACCGGCCACCTGGCGTTACCCAGAAAAGAGGAAGAACGGCACTGTTACACCTCTGATCCCCCTCACTCACAGGCTGGTTCACATCAACCCTGCAAGCTGGGGACTATTACCACCCACCCCTTACAGATGGAGAAACTGAGTCACAGCGGGCCTACACATCTTATGTAAGGACAAGGCACAGCAAAGATGTATCTCGGACGCTGAGTTCAGAGAGTGAAATCTTCACTCTACTATCTCCTATTCCTCCGGAGCCCCTCAGTATTCCAATCTTTAAAATGGGTTTCATATCCGACCCAGCCTCTTCCCCTGGCCTTTTTCACCTCGGACGGCTAAGAGCCATGAAAATCCAAACAGGAGCTAAGTTTTGTTTGGGTGTTAACTGCATATAAGGGGCTGTGCTCCCTCAGCGCTCAGCTTGGGCCTCACCTTGCCCCGGGGCTTCACACCAGGTGCCGTGAACACTAGCAGCTTCTGGAAGCTCTCCCAGCCAGGGGATGACTTCCTTATCCGCTTTTTCTGCTGTTCATCCTCCTCCTCCTCCTCCTCCTCCGGGGCCACAGGAGGGGTGCCTGGTGGAGTGTCTGGCTGGGATTCTGGCGTGTGAGCCTCTTCCCAGCGCAGGGTCAGCGGGTGGAGGCCATTGACCAAATACAGCGTGTCCCCCACCCCCAGAGAACCCTCCAACCCTGTTCTCAGCTCCTGAGTCCCGGCAGTTGAGGGGTTAACTCCCAGCTGTAGAGAGAGAGGGAGGACTGGAACTGGCTCCACCCCCAGCGGCAACCTCCTCCAATCAAATAACCCGGAAAAAGACTCGTCTTTCTCCACCAGCCAATCAGACCCCTAAGTCCCGCCTCCTCACCCTGTACCACCAATCAGGGCTCTGGGAAGGTTATAAGCATCCAGTCTTACCCAATTTAAATGGGTATGGATGTTTACCCCACTAAAACAGGCACACCTGTTCCCCTCCGAGAATCAGATTTTCCCAGTTGGGCCTGTTCCCCGCTGGGTAGCGATTCTCCACACCCCCCACCCCCACTCCACCCCCAGGCCCCTTGCTAACGAACTGGTACCTGTTTCACTGCCACCGTCCGAGTCTCAGGGTCAGCGACCAGCTCCACTGAGGATTGAGGGGGTGGAGTCAGGATTTGAATCCTTGTGTGACTGCTTCCCTCCTTACTGGGGAGCATGGTCAGCTTCAAATCACAGTATGGGGCTACAGCACCCATCCGGCAGGAGGAATCAGTTTATTTCTAAGTAGAATTGGCTCACTCCTTGACATGCAGTACCCAGATAAAGGCCTTAACGACTGCCTGTGTCACTGGTCCTCGCCTAGGGGCAGGGCAGGTATTTTTCCGTATAGAATTGGCTTCTCCTTGACAACGCAGACCTTGGCAAGATGCAGGTTCTGGGCTTGGCCCTCTACCACCCATCTCTGCTTAGCAATATGCACTTTTCTCCGTAGGATCGGCTCTCTCCTTGACAAGGGTCGTGGCCTGATTCAAGCCTTCCCGGTGGCCTGTGAGTATCCTCTGCCCAGTGACAAAGTGTCTCGGGATTGACTCCATCCGCTCCCGCTCAAGGTGTCTGGCTAGTTCCAGGTCAGGCACAACCTTTTTCTTCCTGTGCTCCCCACATGCCACCTACCAACTTCAGGACTGGTTGCACCACGCAATTCCTGGACTACCTTTCCCATTGACTGTGTTCCCGCTCCTGAAGCGGACCACACCCCCTCCAGCTCAGGCTCCTCCCTGCCCACCTTGGTTTCTGGAGCACTTCCGGTCGGTAACCTGCGTCAAGGGTCCTCGGCCCAGCACCAGGGCTTGCCCACCCAAGGGCAGGAAGATGGGAGGCGCTCCCCCAGGGGGGCTCTCCAGCCACAGGCGGCCCTGGGCCTCCACCCTGGCCATCCTGGGAGCCGGCCTAAAGGAAAGTAGGTAAATAGGTTTGAGTGGCAGCCCTCAGTTGCTAAAGGAAGTCCCGCCTCCTCTCGCACTCTACACCAGAAATTCCCTTCATCAGCTAAAGGCTCCGGAAATCCCACCCACTCGTTGGCCTGGGGCTCGCGCCGTTTCCCAGGCGATAACGCCCCACTCCTTCCCTCCGGGACCCCGGACTCCAACTTCCCACGGCAAAGGCCGAGAAACTCTCGCGCACTCGCTTCGGCCCCACGCTCACCCTTGCCCGCCGCTTGGCTCACTCGCCGCTTCCGACCAGGGAGGGCCTGCCGGAGGCGCTCTGCTCGCAACTCGGCCGGCTGCTGCCTCTGTTTCTCCGCGGACGGAAATGGCTCGTCCTATCAAAGTGGGCGGGGCATTTGGCTCCGCCTGCCGTAAGCCCCGCCCTTTCCCAGACACAGTGCTCCTAAGGTCCCTCCGCTGGTCTGACCTTCGTCTCTCCTGATGCAGTATGAGACGCAGGCCAGTAGGGGGGGTAGACTCCCTGTTCACACATTTTTTCCTCTTTCCACGTTGAACTCTAATTTTCATTCCCTTTGCCGGAGACAGTTATAGCGGGAGGAGATTCTCGTTACGATTATTGTCAGTCGAAGAAACCCCGCCCCGACAGCAACCCTACCCTGGATGCTGCAGTTTTCTCATCTACAGTGTGGGGATAATCGTTTCCACTTTGTGGGGTTACTAGGAAGATTAAATGAGTTAGTACATGTAAATAACTTATAAAAGTGTCTAAGTGATAGTTTGCCCTAAGTTTTGTCTGTTGTTAGCATTCCATTGGTGGTGGTCTGATGGGACATGGGGATTCCGCGTTTACATCTTCGGACCAGGAGCCATTTGTTCTCTAACCTCCAGCTGTCTTACGTTAGTCAGAAAACTCCCGGCCTCAGCTGGAGGTTCCTGGCTTTCCTGGGCACTATGTGGGCTCAGGAGACTGACTCATTAAACTATTCCGATCCCAACACTCAAAGCCCTGAAGATTGGGACTCCACGATCATACGAGGAAGGAATGGAATCCTTCCTCCCACCCCATGAACCTCTCTTTTCTTGTTCGTAAAATGGGGACGAGTCCAATTCCCAGCGTTGCACTGAGAAGCAATGAGACGCTGCTAATTTGGCTTCAGAAAATGTTAAATGAATACCCACAACACACCTCAGACTCATTTGTCAGAGGTAAAACTCTTTAATCTCAGAGCGCCCCTCCCAACTCCCGATCCCGACCCCCCACTCTCTCCCCCACACCAGGGCCGGAGAGTGAGGCCCCCTGCCCCCCACCTTGGGTGGACGAGGGCCCTTTAAGGCACCTGTGGGGGTGGGGGGAGAGGGGCGGGAGCTGGTAACGTCCTGGATGCAAGGACGGGTTTGATTGGCAGGCTGTTGTGGGATGAAACCAATGAGAGGGTGTCAAACGCAGGAACAGGATCGGGCCATCCCTGAGGGGGCCAGAGGGACAATTGTCAGGACTTCGGCAAAAGACGACCCCAGCCCCAGTAGTGTAAAGAACGTAAATTTAAGGCCACAGGCCAATCCTGGGCACAGGAAGAGGGTTGGCCACGCCCCCAGAAGTGGAACCAATCAGGCGGGGGAACTCAGGAAGGGTGATGGCTCTCTCGGAAGATTGGTCAAGCCCTTTACAGTGTTCGAGCCAATCAAGTGAAGGAGCTGCCCATTCACCGTGCTGAAGTCGAGGGCCACTACCCAATCCTGGAGCTTGACTGTGCTCTTTCAGGAATGGAGCCAATGCCGTGCGAGCAAAGCCCTTGTTGCTAGGCGGAAAACGACGAAGTTGGCCAACTAGCCACGTCCCGATCGGGGAGCGAGACAATCCCTTAATAGAAAGAATCTGTCGCTGGGCAGAGAGAAAACAGACCCAATCGGGAAACTGCACAGGCATCGCTCATCCGCGCGGGAGCGGTCGTGGGCTGGAAGGGCGGCGGGGGTTGGCAGGGGCTGGTCAATCCTGGTGGCCCGGGAGGCCGGTCCCGGATCTGACTCGGATTGGCGGGCCCCGGGGGCGGGGCAGGGGTGTAGTGTGGGGGTGAGGCGGACGCCGGGCCGGGAAGCTCCCTGGACCTCAGTATTTCCGCTTCAGCTTCTGGAAGTCGCTGGTGTTGAGCCGTGGCCGCGGCAGGTCCCCGAAGACCTGAGTGTCCTCGGCCTCCCGCAACACCAGCGCGCGCATGCTCGCCGCGATACGGTCCAGGTCCGGCGAGGAGGGCTGCGGGAACGGCGATACGGCCGGGGTCAGAGCCTACACCCTGGGCTCCAGGTCCTCTCCTAGCACTTTTGCCCCTGCGATGCCTACGGCCAGGAAGGCCCTTCACCCTGTCCTGCTCCATTTAGGGCTCTGCCACCCAACTCAAAACACCACCTCCTCAAAGAGCCTTCCTGCCCCTCTCCTCCCCCCCATTCTCCGCCTCCTATGTGCACACACAAAGGCCTGTCTCACCGCCGTCCTTCCACATAGTGGAAGTGCTGCCTGTCTGCTGACCATCACGGCTGTGTGCACCCAGAGGGTCTCACGTCTAAGGATCCGGGTTCGGGATTCAGTCAGGTTCTAATCAGGCTTCTGCCACCCACTAGCTGTCAACAGGGATTTTACCTCCTTAGGTTTCAGTCTCCCCTCGGAAAAACGGGGCTGATAACAGGCTCTGAGATAATCAGCACAGTGATTGCTAAAGAAGGGTGAACGACCATGTCACCAGCGCTGTAGAGAAAGGAGCCCTCTCACTGTCAGTCTCCACTGAGGAGGGGTCCTGTCATTCTGCCTGCAGCCCCAGCCCTAGCACTACCTCCCTTAAGGCCCCTGTCACCCTGAGCTGGGCCTAACGCCCAGCGGAACGGGAGAGTCCACGAACAGAAGCTGGACCCGGGCCCTCTCAGAGGCCAGCCCAGGACCCAGCACTCAGGCCTCAAAGGTTCAGTTAATTAACTGTGTTTCCACCAGTGATAAACAAGGACAGCAGCAGCTGATGGACCCTGCTAGTCTATAAATGAGGACACTGTGAGGTGTCATAGGGAGGGGGAACCATGGGATGCAAGGCCTCCTCCCTGCAAGTCCATAGCTCTTTTCCAGAAGTAAGCTAGGTTCCAATCCCAGCGCTGCCCCTTACGGGCTGAGTCTCAGGAAGTCATGTGTATTCTCAGTGCCTCAGTTTCCCCTCTGCTTCAGGGAGCTTTAGTGATGGGAGATAAGGACCCACCCAGGCCAGCCCAGGAACTCCATGTGTAGGACAGTGTGGGAGGGAGGAACAGAGGACAAGGGAGGTGGCACAAATTCCAGGAGGGGCCAGCAATATGTGGGGTGAGGGTGGAAGGTGATCTGACCCCTCTGAGCCTCAGTTTCCCAATCTGGAGGGGATACTAAAATACTTGTGCCCTGCGCAGACCACGTATTCTATAAACGGTACTGTTCCTGGAAATTAGAGGCTGCTTTCTCTACAAGGCACTGGGGCACATTACAAGGCTGTGATGGTTAAAACTGCAGCGCTCTAGCCCAAGAGCCAGCCTTATGAGTAGGAGGGGAGGATCAATCCTGAGAAACGTGGCATCCACGTCCGAGGGCTTCCTGGAGGAGAGAGCTCTGAGCCCTTCCTGACACCCTCCTCCCCACCTCCCATTTGCCCCTCACCGGCCCGTTCTCCTCATCAGATGACCGAGCTTCTGTCCTCTTCTCCTTGAAGGCCCAGACGGGCACGGACACGGGCAGGGACTTGGCGTACTGCTGTGTGGGCAGGGCTGAGGCTGGGGGCACTGAGTAGGCTGGGGGCCCAGCGGGGGTCTCCTCGCTCAGGCTGCCATCTGGGAGAGAAGGTGGACTTCAGCCTCTGTCTTCAGCTGCCTTCCTCCCAGCTCCCCACCCCCCTCTCCAGGGATGGGGACAGCCTGTGACACTCACCGTCCGTGCTCTCAGGGTCTGACTCGCAGAAGGGGGGCAGGTCCTGGAGCGTGGTATCCTCATCCATCACAAAGAGTCCTGTGGATGGCATTAGAGGCCCGGACCAGTTGAGTCCCGCTGGACTCCATGCGCTCGAGACTCCGGCCACTGCCACCGCCTCTCCGTTCCCCACACTGGCCAGGCCCTTGCAAGCCTCGGGGCTTCTGGAATAATTATTCCCTCTGCCACGAACACCTTTCCCCTGGTTATCTGACTGGCCTTCGGCAGAAATAAATCCAGTTTCTCTCTATCTGGTACATCCCCAGGTGAAAGCAACTGGCTGGATGAACATGAAATCTGTAAGATCTGTTTGGGATGAACCGACTCAAAATACAGGCTGAGAGAAATATGAGATGATTATGATCCCTGTTTGACAAACGGGGACCTGGAGGCACAGAGAGATTAACTCACTTGCGCTTAGTCCCAAATCTAGTAAGTGGTGTCACCAGGATTTGAACCCAGGCCACCTGGCTCGAGTCTGTGCCCTTAATCCTATGAGGGTTTCTCCAGCAACAGTGAGGAAGTCAGCCGTTGGTAGTAACAGTAACAAATGAGTAACTACTTATTGAGTCCCCCACCCACCCACTGCCGGAGAACTCCTACTCACTCTTCAAAGCCCTAATGTTACAGCGCAGTCTCTGGGAAGCATCCAACCTCCACGTTTCCCCCAATGCAGCCAGTTGCTTCTTCAGCTGTTGCTTGTACCCCTGACTCCTCTTTAACTCCTGTCTTTGCTCTCACAGGCATTAGGCACCCCAGATTTGGAAACAATTCTGTTCTACTCATGCTCCTGGCTCAGGAGGCTCCCTCCCCCGCCATGGCCTCCACAGGGCACTGCTTCATGTCAGGACTCCAATTCCTTGGCCAGACCCAGAGTCCCTAGAGAAAAGACCCCAAGTTGGCTTTCTCTGTGCCCAGCGTCTCCCAGCACAGAGCTGGCTCTCAGACACGATGGAAGGAAACTGAAGCTCAGAGAAGAGAAATGACTTGCTCAAGGTCACAGAGTGAGTCACAGGCAAGCCTGCAGCTTACATGAACATTAGGGCTCAGAGACAGGCCAGCTGTACCCCTCCAGAAAAACCCACTGAGGAGGCAACTTACCAGGACCCCCCCCCGGCCCCTGCCCCTGTCCTTCTCACCTCCATTATCGCTGACACCCAGCCGCTCCCCAGAGGTCTCTGTCTCCGTTGGCTCGTCCTCATCCTCCTCATCTTCCTCCCTGTTCAGGGTAGGCCGAGGTGGGCTCCGTGCAGGGCTAGGCGGCTGCGGTGCTGGTGGGGGCATGGGGGGCCGGGCGGTGGCGGCTGCCCGGTGGGCCAGGGCGATGTCGTGGAGGCAGCGGCGGGCAGCCTCGGCCAGGGCCCCTCGACCGTGGGCTGCATAGGCGCAGGGGCCCGGACGGGGGGGCGGGGGGGGCGCAGCCGTCAGCAGCACCAGCTCCGTGCCCGTCCGGGCCCGGAAGCGCTCAGCAGCCCCCACCACGGCCTCCCACAGCTCCTCGGGGCGCCCCGACGCCATCCGCGCCCTGCGGGGCAGAGCACGACACAGTGGGCTGAGGCTTCGCTGACTTCGCCGTCCACACCCAGCCCCGTGTGTCCACCAGTCCCTGGTCTCCACCCCCACCTCTCCTCTCCACCTGATCCCAGCTGAACTCCGCATCTTCCCCCCAGCCCCATCCCTCATCCCCGCAGCCCAGCTCTCTCCTCTTGGCCCTGCCCTGTCCAACATGGAAGCCATCAGCTACACGTGACTAGGGAGCACTTGAGCTGTAACTGATCCAAAGTGAGAGGTGCCATGAGTGTGAAATCCACACGGGGTTTGCAAGACTTAGCACAAAAAGGTAGGATGTAAGCTATCTCATGAGCAATCTGAAGTTGATTAAATGTTGAAATGATCACATTTATTTATGCTGACTAAATAAAATATAGGATGAAAGTGAATGTCATCTGTTTTCTTTCCACTTTTTTAATGTGGCTCATACAAGATTTGAAATTATACAGGTGGCTCAGATCATATTTCTGATGGACGGTGCTGCCCTGGACCATTGCCCCAGCCTCCAGTCCAGCTGGCACACAGCCCCCCAGGGGGTCCTTCTACCCCTGCAGCTGCCTCTGCTCCTCCCCCGCATCCCCAGGACAAGGTCACAGCCCCTTAGCCCGGCGCTGGAGGGCCTGCCCCCGGCCTCATATCCTTACACGCTCCTTCAGTCAAGGTGGACCCCCTCTACCGGGACCACTTGTCCTCCATGTACTTGTCACTCCTGCACTCACCCAGAGCTCAGGTTGGCCCCTCCCCACCTGTGAGCTCCCACAATGTCTGAGTGACCCCCGTTCTAGCACATATCCCTCTGGGGAGCACTGCCTGGATCCACATCCATTTCCCCAGCCAGTGTGGGCGTCAGATTCATCTCTGAGACACCAGCCTTGCCCAGCACATGGTAGGTCTCAGAGAGCGGGGGTCGAGCAGAAAATGGGGTGCCAGCTGTCCTCTGCCCACAAAGCTCTCGCACTTCCTACAAGACTGTTCCGGCAGGTCCTCTGGAAGTCTTCCCTGACCCGCAGTAGGGATCAGATGCCTTCCCTAGACCCACAATGCCCTGGGCTACCTCCACTATAGCTCATGTCACACGAGCTTGTGACAGCTGTACCTCTGGCTGCCTCCTCCATCAGAATATGAGCAACCCAAGGTCAGTGATCTGTGGCCCCAGGACAGGTCAGCCCTAAGCAGACAGTCTGCTTGGATCCATCTCCTTACAAGGTGAGAGGAACAAGGGACAAGGGGCCTGGCTTCCTGCCCTGACGGCTGTGTGACCTTGCACCACTGAATGGCCTTCTCTGTGCCTGTCTTCTCCCTGTAAACCAGTGGTTGAGCTGGGCCTGCTGGGCCGCTGAGGAGCCTCCGCAGAGAGGCAGCAAGCTCCCCATCACTGCAGGGATTCAAGCAGGGCTGTGATCTAGCCCTCTAGGGTCACAGAAGTTTGATTTCGATTCGCAGGCCCTTTGTGACTCAAGATCATAGAAGCCAGTGTTTCCTAAGCACCTACTCTGTGCAGGGGCTCTGCACCTGTCATCTCCCCTCCTACCTGACCCACAAAGGTGGGAGCTGTTACCTTACATATGAGACAGTTGAAGCTCACCGAGTACAAAGCCCTTGCAGTGAGGCACAACCAGTACCAGTCCTGACAGACCCTGAAGCAGGTTTATACCACACCTCCCACAGGCTAGGCAGGGACCCGAGGGTGTCATCAACAATCTCATTCCACCCTCCCACCACCCCTGTGAGGGAGGAGCTATGATCACCCCACTTTACAGTTGCAAATGGAGGCCTGGGGAGATTCAGTATCTTGCCCGGGGTCATTTAGCTAGAGAGATGGACAGCTGGGACCTGGATCTGGCAACCTGCTCTTAATCCCAAATGCCATCCTGCCTACCTTATGGGGAAAGATTTATGATCTCCTAGTCCAGATGGGAAAAATGAGGCTCAGAGAGCTTAAGGCACTGACCAGAAGGCACACAGCTAGAAAGGGCAGAAGTGGGTGAGACTGCTGTCTGCCTGACTCCAAAAGCCAACAGAATTGGGAGCTGCACAGGGTCTCACAGCCACTCCTTGGGTCAGCCCCATCTGATGGAGGAAACTGAGGCTCAGGGCAGGGAAATGACTGGTCCAATGTCACAAAGCCTTGTAGTGCTAGGCCAGGGGGCTCTCACTCCCTTGGGACAAAGATTCAACTCCTTTCTTAGACAACATCTCTAAGAGTAGATCAAACTCCTATAGCTTAGAATAGCTGAAAAGAGTGAAGTGGGGGTGAGTGGGTCATGAGGGTCCCACACACCTCAAAGAGGAGAAGGGTGACTCACGCAGCTCTCTCTGCCAAGGCTTGGGAGCTCTCTGGCGTCGGTTACCCAACAGGAGAGTTGCCAGGACCAACAGGAGAGTAGCCAAGCCAAGTACCCCACAGGAGAGTCTCCCACTCCTTCAGCTTCCGGAGGAAGTTCTGTATCTTCCAAGGAGCTTAGAGATGGAAGATCCTCCCTCCCCCCAAATGGAAGTGTTTAAGATTAGGGAGAGAGGGAGGTAAGACCTGTCCTCCACAGGAGGAGGAAGGGACAGGTAAGGTGATTGACCTTTTAGGATGAGGTGAGGAGATGAAGTGAGGAAAGTGACTCCAGGAAGAGATGAGGAAAGAGGAAAAGCCCCCTAAGGAATGAGGGATGCTAGCGAAGTCCCCTCCCACCACCTGTCAAACTGGAAGTAAACCCCTCCCCCGCCCCAAGGTGGGAGGAACTCGAGGATGCACCCAGTGGCCGGGGGCAGGTGAATGTCCGGGGTCTTTCTCTACCGCTCAGAATCCCCATTTCGCCAGGGGGTCCAGGGAAAGACCTACTTCTCTAGGAAGAAAACAGGAAAGCCCGCCCAGGTGGGGGCCAGGACCGGAAGTCCCGCCTTTGGACGGGTGAGGGGCGCCCCGAAGCCCCACCGAGTAACCCCCCGACCCTGTGGACATGGTCCACGGCCAAAGTAAAGATCCTAGTGGGTCTAGAGACCGGAGGATAAGGCTGTCTAAGCGTTGCCTCGGGTCAGACACGACGGTTCCCGCGGGCGACACCTTTCCAGCGCTCAGCGTAGGGTCACTGGGCGATTTCTGCCCTCTGACCTACGCTGGCTATACTCCTCCCGCGAGCGGCTCGCCCTCCCAGCACCCCTCTCCTCCGGACGGCCAAATTCTCCCCACACCGCGGTTCACAACGCCGCCTCCACTCACGTGCCCGTAGCCAGCATGGCCGGCCCGGCACCGTCGCCGCCCTCAAAAGACATGGCGGTGCCTTGCGTCACTTCCGCATGGTTGGCCCGCCTCCACTCTGCACACTCCGCCTCCCTTATCTCGGCTGCCCGAGACCAACATGGCGGCCACGGGGGCTTCGCCGGATCACAGTGGAGCAATGGCGACGGCAGGGTGCCCATAAGAAAGATGGTGAAAAAAAAGCTTCAGCTTGCTCGGAAACATTTCCCCAAGAAATATGGGGAAAATGCACACGCACACTCAGGACCACAGTATACTAATGCAAGCGACCTAACGTCCCTCCCCCATAATAACCTCTTCCACAGAACTGGTGGAAAGCAGGGCCCGTTAATGACATGGCAACCAGCCTGGCATCATTTGCCCATAATGTATATATGGGCTCTCTCTCCAACCTAGCCCCCTCAGCACCAAGGCTGGCAAAGATCCAACATGGCATCCTTTCTTGCTTCGGTTTGCCCAGCTTCAATATGGCGGCTCAGAACGCTTTCTCTCGACGGTGACTCAGGAATTCGTCTGGGACCGCTTCGTCCCCGGGGATATTGACGGCTTCATCCCGTTAACCCGAGTCCTTCGGGGCCTCGTGTGATGTACAGCTCCTCTCACCTTTTTCTTTAACCGTTTCTCTCTTCTAGGACCTTGCTTTCGCGCCCCGCAGAGAGATGGGACTGCCCCGCATTAACATGGCCGCAGCTGACCGGCCTTGCCCGTGCCCTCGAGCAAAATGGCATCTCTTTGGCTTCGATGCCAGTACACAATATGGAGAAAGGAGTAGGCCTTTCCAAGCCAGTTTGAGCGAGGGGGTGGAGCTCTTGGACCCGCCCCCTTGTTTACTTCTACGTTAGGACTGTTTTGCTGCGCCTGCGCACTGGCCGCTCCACCTTTAGCGTCTGTGACGTGACTTGATACCTCGTGGTTCAAGTTTAACCACCCCATTCTGAAAAATGGTTACACCCATTCTTATTCTAGAACAGATGGGGACGCCACCACTGTCTGGGCTTGAGGGGAGTCTCCTATCCGGATGTGACAGCACGCTGACCCGGAAAAGGAGGGAGCCGGGGCAGTGAGGTCTCGGCCGCGGCTATGGAGGGCGCCGGTTACAGGGTAAGCACTGAAGACGCGTTCTTTCGCTTCCGTCTATGCGAAACGCCGCCCTCCGGTGGTCTGCTTCTTTCTCAGGACTTGCAGGGACTCTGGGAGCCCAGCACCTCCTTAACAAGCACACCATTCCCTTAATAAACACGCTGTCACCCTTCCTTCCACTGCCCTAGGGAGACCCATATCGTTTAGCCCCGCCCCCTGCGGCTCACCCAGTTTGGAATGCACTCCCCCTTTCTCCCCTCCCCATCCTCCGGAGTGCCAGAGAAGCCTGGCGCTATACAGGCTTCACTCCGGGCCCCATCCTCTAGGTAAACGTACCCTGGGCCCCGCCCCCAAGGTGAATAGCGCTTCCCCCGGGTCTGCTCCCATTGGCTCTCTTTTGAGCCCCGCCCCCTGAGGGTCTTCCCACGCTTGGGCCCCGCCCCTCAATGGTTCCCGTTCCTAGGTGGTATTTGAGAAAGGAGGCGTGTACCTGCACACCAGTGCCAAGAAGCACCAAGACCCGGACTCCCTCATCGCCGGCGTCATCCGTGTTGTGGAGAAGGTAGGCCGGGAGAGAGCAGGGCTCGGGCAGGCCTAGAGCGGGAGGGAGGCGGCGTCTGTAGGAGTATAGTGTGGAGGTCAGCAACGGGAGGTTAAGAAGGAGAGGTGGCTTTCTAAGGCTGAGGGTCCAGAACTGGGAGGAAGTTTGGAAATATGGTTTGGGGAGTTTGGAGGGAAGCACTCCCAACCCCTCCTTTTTTCCCTTAGGACAATGACGTCCTCCTGCACTGGGCTCCTGTAGAGGAGGCTGGAGATTCCACCCAAATCATCTTCTCCAAGAAGGTAGGCTACCTTTGCTTCCCCTTTCTCCACTTACTTTTTTTCTAGGTCGGGGCAGTGGAAAGCATTTGAAGGACTTGAATACAATTACAGACCTACCCTAGGAGCATGTGTGGTCCTGGTTGGGACCTAAGTTCTCTCTGTCACTCACTTTTGTCTCCTCTGTGAAATGGGGCTGAAGATGCCCATTCATGGAAAGAAAGTAGACACTATGAGATTTGTGGCCATGGGGGTAGCTGCCTGCCTCCTCACCCCCTTTGCTTCTTGGGAGAGCTCTGCCAGGGTGCAAGAGGACAACTCAGCCTGTGGATTCAGGTTCCACGGGCTCTCAGCCCATAAGGACTTGACAGAGTGTGGCATTTTTTCTTGGGCAGTCTTGCCATCGTGTCCAGAGAGGGAACAAGACCTGACAGAGGCTACTCATCCACTTCGCCAGGATTCCTTCCTTCCCCGGGTACAACACCTCGCCCTTCTCATTTCCAGATGTGTCCTTGTCAGGCCCTTGTGCTGGATGGTGCTGGGACCCAGAGATGAATCCAACCCAGACACTGCCTAAGTCCTCCCTCACCCCTCATTCTGTTTTTGAGAAATTGAGGCACGATGAGAGGAAACCTCATCCTCTCATCCTCTCCTGAGGTCAGAAAAGCTAGGAAGTATTGGAACTTGGATTTGAACCCACACATACTGACTCCAGAGCACGTCTCCTTCTGGGGAGCAGACATTTGGGCTAGGACTCTAGAGATGAGAAGCAGGCAAGAATATATTTCAGCGGGGACTTCTCTGGTGGTCTAGTGGTTAAGACTCTGCGCTTCTACTGCATGGGGCATGGGTTCAATCCCTGGTTGGGGAACTGAGATCCCACATGCCACACAGCACGGCCAAAAAAAAACCCCAAAAAACAATATATTTCAGGGACAGGAGGAAGAAGGCTGTTTCAGGGCAGAACGGAACGTGGGATATCTCTGTAGAGGGTTTTGCTGGAAAGATAGTTGGGCCTGAAATGCCAGGCTGAGAAGCTTGGACCCTGTCCTGGGGGCCAAGGTTAGCCTTGGGAGGGGAAAGGTATGGGTATGGGAAGCCCCATCTGTGGGATCATGTGGGAGATGGATGGAAGGACCAAATGGAGGGAGATTGGGGGCTGGGAGGTCGGGGAGGAGGCCAGTGTGACGGGCCAGGAAGAGAGGATGAAGCCTCAGCTGGGGCCATGGGGTTTCAAACGGAGATTCCAGAGCCTCCCCTATGGAAGTTGAAGTAGCAGCAACCAGGATTTTGCATTTTCACCAACCTCACAGGCAGTCTGAGTGCCTTTCTTAAGAACATTGCTGTCCTCTTTGGCGCTCTTATTTTCAAATAACAGAAACCCACTGAGACAGGCATCAATGGGAAGGACACATATAAATTCAGGATACATTCAGCTCCAAGGAACACAAAACTGAGCTGACAACACAGTGAGCAAACAAGTTTGTTTCTTTCACCTCACAAGACTCCAAATGGTATGAGGCTGCTGTCCTTGGCTAGTGACATCAAGGCTTGGATTGCTGAGAACCTACTGTGCTTGCTCTAGTGGTGTTTAAATGACCACTTCAGCTGCAGCCATTGCATCTGCCTTTTAAGGCAGGAAAAAGGGGCCAGCAGGGTACCAATCATATCTGTCCTTTTTATCAGTAAAAACAAGAGGTTTTCCAGAAAGCTTTGCGTCAGTTAGGAGTTGCATTTGGTTGTATGTAATAGAAACAGGAATACCAGCGACCTAAACAAGATAACAGCTCATTTCTCTCTTTTTACAAAGCCCAGAAGTCAGCAGTATAGGTTCATATGTTATCAATGACTCAGCTTCCTTCCAACATTGCTCTGTAATCCTCAACATGTGGCATCTGTTCTTAAGGCTGCCTTCTGGTCCAGAAGGGCTGCTGGAGCTCCAGCCTTTTTAACTGTTTTTTTTCACTCTACATGTGTATCTCAGGTTGGCAAAAGAGCTCTGCTCATCATGATTACTCAAGGAAGCATGCTGCTAGAGCAGCCAGCATCTTAAAGGTCTCATTCCTTGTGGCAGAGGGAAAGAGATCTCTAGAAGTTTTTCCCTGGCAGTTAAACAGTCCATCTTGGAAGTGGTATATCCCAGCCGTTTGGCCAGAACGAGTTGCATGTCTCCACTCAGCCAGTAGAGTTCAATGAGCTGTAATCCTACTGTATGCCCGAGGGGTGGAGAGCTGCAAACATTTGACAGACAACACACTAATTATCATTATTTTGTGTAAACACTGGCAAAATTATCAAATTCTTCATGTCACAAAACAGGGAGGGCACAGATGGCTTTGCCAGGGGCTGGTTTGGCAGCTTGTGGACAGGTGTCCCTGCCATTCCTTGGTCTTCTTTTCATGGCCCTGGTTGGCTGCCACAGTTCCAAACACCATGTCCTCCCTTGACAGCACATAGAGGCTAACCTGAATAGGGTGTTCACTCCTGTAGGTGCCTTTTTATCAGGAATTCCCTTCTTCAGACTCCCCGCGGATGTACCCTCAGCTTCCACTGGCCAGAGTTGGGTCCCTAGGCCATTCAGAAATGCAGGGAAGGCTGGGAAAGTGGATATTGGGATATTTCAGCTTCTGTTGTGGGAGTGGCTTGTCAGTCTGGAATATCCAGCAGATACCCCACAGTCTGAGTCCTTCTAATCATGCAGGGTTTTACTGCAAGAGTCACAAAACACTCCAGTTACTTTAAGCAGCAAGGGGTTAAATGCAGAGACGTGGAGGCTTACAGAATTTTTACAGAAGCTAGAGGAATAGGACTGACACTGCAGAACTGACCTGCCAGGGGAGCTGCGATCCAGTGAGGGCAGGGCTGTAGGGAATGGGACTGTCATTGGAGTTGTCAAGTTCGAGAATACTACCATCAGAGCTGCTAATCGGCCCCACTGCTGCCCCAGTTACCGCTCTGTGTGCAGGAAGATGAAGACAGAGATGAGACTCCTCCTTTTTCCTTGTCAGCCAAACACCAGCCAGAGTGGCAGGAAGTTGCCCTTATCCAATTTCCACTTTGTAGATCTGAGTGCATCTGATTGGTAGGCTCTTGTGCCTGGAACGCAACTTCAGGGGAGCCTGGGAAATGTTTTACCTTTCTAGCCATTCCCATAGAGGAAGACACACGAGCTGTGAATTCTCTCCCAGTTGCTGCAATCCTCACACATTTTGTCCCCTCCCTGCCCTCCTCCACGGCTCATGGCCAGCATGGCTTTTACTGCACTCTGACCCTCAGCATGGCCCTGCTCTGCATGGTTTCCCTGAATCTGCCCAACAGGCCCCTGAGCTCATGTCAATAAAAGCAGCCACCAGCTGGCCCCATGCTGGGCACTTCATGTTACTTTCATAACAAAATACGAGCCACCTATTTTTTTCTTTTATTCAGATAGAATTCATTTACCATCAGACTCAAAAAAATTCAAGCTTTATGAAAACTTAAAATTGTCAAAGTGCATAATTCAGTGGTTTTTAGTATTCACACACGTTTGCAACCATCACCACCGTGTAATTCCGGAACATTTCATCATCCCCGAAAGAAACCCTGTACCTGTACTCCCCTCCTCCAGCTCCTGGCAACCACTAACCTGCTTTCTGTCTCTATAAATTTGCCTTTTCTGGATATTTCATATAAATGGAATCATACTCTATGTGGTTCTTCGTGACTGGCTTTTTTTATTTAGGTTGCTTTCAAGGTTCATCCATATTGTAACATCTATTGAAACGTCCTTCCTTTTTATTGCTGAATAAAATTCTATCGTATGGATCTACCCATTTTATTAATTCATCAGTTCGATGGACAGTGGGTTGTTTCCACTTCTTGGCAGTCACGAATATGCTGCTGTGAACGTTCATGTGTAGGTCTTTGCGTGGGTGTTCATGTTTATTTCTCTGGGGTGTATACCTAGGAGCAGAATTGCTGGGTCATATGGTAATTCCACGTTTAACCTTTTGAGGACCTGCCAGACTGTTTTCTACAGTGGCTGCACCATCTTACAATCCTACCAGCAGTGTAAGAGGTTCCAGTTTCTCCACATTCTCACCAACACTTGCTATTGCCTGTCTTTTTTTATTCTAGCCATTCTAGTGGGTGTGAAGTCGTATCTGATTGTGGTCCTGATTTGAGTTACTCTAGTAACTCCTACCTACTTATTTTAAGCACAGCGACCTCTGGCAGTCTGACTGCAAAGCACCCCAACCCCTGCCTAGCTGTCTGCTTTTTATGTGGGGATGTTTTGGTTAGAGCCACCGTGAGACTTGGCTTCAAATCCTGGCCCATTCCCTGGCTGCATTGGGTGACCGACCCTGAGAGCAAGTGCTGTGCCCTCTTTGTGCCTCAGTTTCCCTCTTTGTTCAATGGGGCTACCTCCCAGGGTGGCCTCGAGGCTCAGATCTGGAAACTCTGAATCCACAGTCCCTCAGTCTCTTTTCCTGTCTTCCCCCAAGGACACCAGTGGGGGAGACTCCTGCACCTCTGAGGAGGAACCAACCTTTGACCCCGGCTATGAACCCGACTGGGCCGTCATCAGCACCGTGCGGCCACGGCACCGCCACTCAGAGCCCACGAGAGGTAGACTAAACTGTTGCCCCTGGGTGGGGGCAGGCGGAGACACGACTTACCCTCAGTGGTCATGGCTCCATGGGCTGTGCTGCCCACAGTCAAGATGGCCACCCACAGTGGCCTCCAGTCCCAGGTGAGTGGGTGGGGGGTGCAGGGCGGTCCCCAGCCCAGGTCCAGCGTGGCCAGCGTCCCTGAGGTTTGCAGCCTTGCTCATCAGGCCGGGCTCCCTGATTGGCTGTGGGCACCTCCACGTAAGTCCTGCCCATGGAATTTCCAGGCTGTGGCGGTGATGGTTGCAGGGTGACAGGGTAATTCGGGCCATCCTGGAGTCGCACAGGGTGCTGGGGGCACCAGAGGAGGTATCTAACCCCGTAGGGGGCAGAGGAGTCTTCCAGGAACGGGTGGTGCCACAGCCTAGCTCTGAAGGATGCTTGAGAGTTTTCTCTCCCCGCAGAGAGAGCAGCGGGGGTAAGGCCAGAGGTGTGGGGCACTGGGTGTGTTTAGGAAACCACAGCCTTTTTGCTGTGGCTTGAGAGGTCTAGAGTGAAGAGAGGGTTGGAGGTGAGACAGGCAGGGTTGGGGGGGGGCAGGGGACAGACATGGGGAGCCTGGGGAGATTTGGGGGCAGGCACGCATCCCCCAGGCTCCCCTCCAGTTTTACTGGTTTCCTTTCCCAGAGGGCCTGGGGCTGGCTCGCAGTGGGCTCTCAGGAGATGCCTGAGCCGCCTCTGGCTCCACACGCCCCCGCCTCCCGACCCCCACCTGCTCCCGATGCTGCTGTCCCCCTAGGTGCAGAGCCCAGCTCCCCCCGGGGCTCCTGGGCCTTCTCCGTGAGTCTGGGGGAGCTCAAGTCCATCCGCCGTTCCAAGCCGGGCCTCAGCTGGGCATACCTGGTTCTGGTTACGCAGGCCGGAGGCTCCCTGCCCGCCCTGCACTTCCACCGCGGGGGCACCCGCGCCCTGCTCCGTGTCCTCAGCCGTTACCTACTGTTGGCCAGGTGAGCCTTGTCCCAGGCCCCACCCCTCCAGGGATGCAGCCTGACTCTCTCAGGGCTGTGAAAGTAATACAACCCAGACTGATTTAAAGGCAGGAAAAAGAGACTTGAGTGGCTCGTGTAACTGCAACATCAAAGGGCAGTTTGACATCAGGCGGGACCCGGGTCCCAGAGTGCAGAAAGAGTTGCTCTTTTTCTTTCTGAGTTTGCTGTCATTCTCTGGGGGCCCCGGTGGGTAGAAAGCACCTCTTTCCCACATTCCAGCAGCATCTTGGGGCTGCTTCTCGTTGGCCTATCCCTGAGGCAGTCACCCTGGCCAGGGAGGTGGAAGGCCCTCGTTGACCAGCCCTGGGGCCTGTGCCATCCCTGGGGTCCAGCTGGGGTCTCAGGCCTGAGATGAGGGATTCCCCATGGGCAGTCGGGACACTGAGAAAAAAAGGAAAAAGCGGGCACCCTGCCTGTGTGTCACCCAGATGCCCTGCCCGCAGCTCCCCGCAGGACTCCCGCCTCTACCTTGTCTTCCCCCATGACTCCTCGGCCCTCTCCAACTCCTTCCACCACCTCCAGCTGTTTGACCAGGACAGCTCCAACGTGGTGTCTGTGAGTCCCCAGCGCCAGGCTGGCCGGTGTGGGCAGGGAAGGGCGGGCCGTGAAGGCCAGGCAGGGAGGGTGGACGGTGACCACCCCTCGGCCCTGTCCCCAGCGCTTCTTCCAGGACCCCTACTCCACCACCTTCAGCAGCTTCTCCCGTGTGACCAACTTCTTCCGCGGAGCCCTGCAGCCGCACCAGGAGGGGGCCTCCCCTGACCTGCCTCCAGCCCCCGATGACGAACCCGAGCCCGGGTTTGAGGTCATTTCCTGTGTGAGTATCAGGGTGGACGCTGCTGCTCTTTGGCAGTCACCGTGGGCATGGGACTGCATTTCCCTGGGCCTCTGTTTCCCCAGTGAGATGGGGATGATAACAGCATCGCCCTCATCGGGTTTCATGAGTGACTTGCTGGAAGGTGCTTGTAGCCTGTGCACCTGGTGCCTACTATTACTGGGGGGGCTTTCCTGACTTGGGGGGTGACTTTTTCACTGACCCAGCCAAGGAGATGCTTCCTGCCCCAGACGTTCTGTCCGTCCGTGCAACTTAGAAGGGCTCTGAGCTGATTCAGAGTGGCCCACGGTGGGCTGGGGAACGCTGTTGGGCTGAGGCCCTGGGCTCACTCGTCCTGTGTCCCCCAGGTGGAGCTAGGGCCGAGGCCGGCTGTGGAGCGGGCGCCTCCGGTCACGGAGGAGGAGTGGGCCCGCCGCATGGGCCCCGAGGGCCGCCTGCAGCAGGTCCCTGAGCTGAAAGCCCGCATCTTCTCAGGGGTGAGGAGCCGAGTGGGTGGGCAGGGTCGGCGGGCAGCCAAGGGGAGGCCCGTCTGAACTGCCCTCTGCCCTCCAGGGTCTGAGCCCCAGCCTGCGACGCGAGGCCTGGAAGTTCCTCCTCGGGTACCTGAGCTGGGAGGGCTCAGCCGAGGAGCACAAGGCCCACGTGCGCAAGAAAACGTGAGTGAGACGCCGTGGCTCCTGCCCTGCTGCGCTGCAGCCTCTGGCCTCCTGAGTCGACTGGAGGTTTTTGATCAACAGCATATCCCAGTGGGCGGCCCGGCACCGGCGCGCTACGCGTGCACAGACGGGCCGTCAACCTGAGCACAGCGGGGACAGAGGCAGTGGGCCAGGCCCTGCCCCTGTAGGGCCCAGAGCCCATCCCCAATGCCGTTTTCATTCTGGCGCCGTGCCGTTTCAGTGGTCACCGCTTTGCAGCGGGCTTCCTAACCCCATGGGGCCACCTCTCGTCGTTCCTGGTATATCTTGTGCCTCTGCCGTGTGTCCCGGTTCTGCCCCTGCTGCTCTCTGTCCAATGGGGGTGACAGACTTTGAACAACAACAAAAAAACCCCCCAAGGGTGTTGTGTGTCATGAGAGATGTGGGGAAGGGGAAGCACAGGGGCGGTGAGCTAGGCTGAGCCCTGTAGGATGAGGCGGCGGGGGGTGTCCCTACATCTCACTCCTCCGCTCCCCTCAGGGACGAGTATTTCCGAATGAAGCTGCAGTGGAAATCTGTGAGCCCGGAGCAGGAGCGGAGGAACTCACTGCTGCACGGATACCGCAGCCTCATTGGTTGGTGGGGGGCAAGGGTGGGATGGTGAGACCAGAAACAGCTGGGAGGGGCCCGAGGGAGCCCCCTGTCTCCCTAAGAGCAGGAGCAAGGCCATCTGTAGGGATGGAGGGGAGTGAGACGGGTGTGAGCAGGGGTGAGTGGCCCTGGGGTTGGGGATGGGGGAGCACGGGAGGGGAGCCAGGCTCCGTGGGTTCAAATCTACCACCTACTCACTGTGAGATCTTGGCAAGTGATCCTACCTCCCTGGGCCGCAGTCTCCCCATCTGTTGATGGTTTAGTAACTGTCAGCTACTGGGAGGGTGTGGCGAGCTGGTGAGCGTGAAGCACAGTACCTCACGTGAGAGCGTTCAAGATGGTCTCTGGATGACCCACACCTGCCTAGGTGTGCTAGCAGCTGGCCGGCAGGGACAGGGCTCACCTTTCACGCCTTTGCGCTTTGCCCCCTGTCCCCACAGAGAGAGATGTGAGCCGCACCGATAGGAACAACAAGTTCTACGAGGGCCCCGAGAACCCGGGGCTGGGCCTGCTGAACGACATCCTCCTTACCTACTGCATGTACCACTTTGACCTCGGTGCGGCACAGCCCGGGGGCAGTTGCTGGGGGCTGGCCTTGCAGGGGGAGCGCGCTGCAGGCCTCGGCTGGGCCCTGACCCCATGTCCCCACAGGCTACGTCCAGGGCATGAGTGACCTTCTCTCCCCGATCCTCTACGTCACTCAGAACGAGGTGGATGCCTTCTGGTGTTTCTGTGGCTTCATGGAGCTCGTGGTGAGGCTCGGCAGGGCTGGGAGACAGGCCCCCTCAAAAGCTGGGGTCTGGCTCCTCACGTGGCCCTCCCTCCCACAGCATGGGAACTTTGAGGAGAGTCAGGAGACGATGAAGCGGCAACTTGGGCAACTCCTGCTCCTCTTGAGGGTGCTGGACCCTCCGCTCTGCGACTTCCTGGGTACGTGTCTCGGCGGGTAGGCAGGGGATGATGGTGGGCCCACACACCTTGCTGCAGAGTCTCTGGGAGTGGCCACAGACAATGTCCAGGATGTTTGGACGTGGTGCAAGCAAGAGAAACATCCCCACAGAACCCAGAATTGATACGTAAAAGCAGGACTGTGGTTTGGAGCAAAACCTCAACGAATGCAGACGTGGGCCCCCTACCCCTGCCAAACGCGCCCCCGCTGCCTGCTGAGGTGGCTCCTTCGTGTGCCGTCAGGCTTTTCAGACGAAGGACCTGGGCGCAGCTCCTCACACTCCTCATCTCCAACCAGCTCTCATCTCCAGTCACCCCTGAGCCTGGATTGGAAACTGGTTCTCTGGGCTGCTGGGGCGGGGACTGCTGCATTTCGGCTTTTAAATTTGACTGCATTGCTTGTTCAATATAAAAAATGCAGGGAATTCACGTAAAGAAAAGAAAGTTAAAGTTGCTGTTGCTCGTACTATTTTTTTGAATGCAGATGATGATAAGATAATTTATTTATTTTTTAATTTTTGGCTGTGTTGGGTCTTCGTTGCTGTGCGCGGGCTTTCTCTAGTTGTGGCGAATGGGGGCTACTCTTTTTTTTTAACAGTTTTTTTTAAATTAATTGATTTATTTTTTGGCTGTGTGGGGTCTTCGTTTCTGTGCGAGAGCTTTCTGTAGTTGCGGCAAGCGGGGGCCACTCATCGTGGTGTGCAGCCTCTCACTGTCACGGCCTCTCTTGTTGCGGAGCCCAGGCTCCAGACGCGCAGGCTCAGTAGCTGTGGCTCACGGGTCCAGTTGCTCCGCGGCATGTGGGATCTTCCCAGACCAGGGCTCGAACCTGTGTCCCCTGCACTGGCAGGCAGATTCTCAACCACTGCGCCACCAGGGAAGCCCCTGGGGGCTACTCTTCATTGTGGTGCGCGGGCTTCTCATTGCGGTGGCTTCTATTGCAGAGCACGGGCTCTAGGTGCGTGGGCTTCAGTAGTTGTGGCACACAGGCTCAGTAGTTGTGGCATGTGGGCTCTAGAGTGCAGGCTCAGTAGTTGTGGCGCACGGGCTTAGTTGTTCCGCGGCATGTGGGATCTTTCTGGACCAGGGCTTGAACCCGTGTCCCCTTGCGTGTCCCCTGCATTGGCAGGCAGGTTCCCAACCACTGAGCCACCAGGGAAGCCCTACATCATCAGTCTTATCGACTACATGGTGTTCTGTCCATCTTAATGATGTATAAAAACAGATTTAACCTGACCTGCTGGACTTTTAGGTCATTTGTAGTTTTTTACCGTGATGAATCTATATTCGTGGATTATTTTTTTAGGTTAAATTCCAAGAAGTGATATTGTATCCAGTGAAGTACACATTTTTACATCTTTTGAAACAATTTGTCTTCATCACTGCTTTCCCAGAAAGTTCCACCAGCTTACGTTTTTGCTAGCAGTGTACACGAGGGCCAGTTTCCTCACACCTCCCCCAGCTTTGGATGTTGAATAGATTTTTTCCCTGAGTGGACTGGTCTTACTGCCTCCCTTCCACATGAGAGCGGAGACCACGGGGCTAGCTCACCTTATCTGGAGCCCGGAAGGCAGGATGGGAAGGTTCCTGCTGGC